TACCTTGGACCGTTACCTCTGTGGCTTGTTGTCATTTACTGATAAGAGGTGAACCCCTGCCCCTGTCCGTTATTCTTTCAAAAACAGAGAAAACCAGATGAGTCCTATCCCATGACTGTCAGTCCAGTTGCCCCCCACACTTAACTCAAAAGTTAACCCGTTCGCAACATCTATTATGATTCTAACATTATACAAAAAGTGTAAATTCTAACACACCCAATCCTTGGGTTTACTGCTTTTTTTGGCAGTATTATCGGTTTCTTCGTTTAATTTTATACTTTCCCTAACTGCTCTAGTTAGCCATGGTTGAACCACTTTTCCTTTGGTATTTTTATTCCTCAAGGGAATATGTAAACATACTGCAGACTATAAGTATGACAAAAGGAGCTACTGGGTCGGAGGTACCTATACACATCTTAAAAGACGCAGAAATACTTTGTATTGTGTAGCAATTCTTACCAGCAAGGGTCGTCGAAGCCAGGACCTAGACTAATAGGTTGATACAGTGATGGGAGGACAGCAGAGCGGGTATACTGGAGGGATGCCATCAAATGGGCCGAAGTGCCTTCTTCATCCAAACGTTTCTCGGGATTTATTGATGCAACGAAATATACAATTACAAGACATTTAAATGCATAACGATGATAAGATATTTCAATATGATATATATCTTAGTGCACTTCAGTATCACAGCTGATATGCTGACTTCTCATCTTAAGATATTTTCCACAGCTGAGCAAACAAGACGAGTGATAGCTTTGTTGGCAAACCAATCCTGGAAAATTGAAATCTAGTGGCAAAATCAGTCTTATAATAGCGACACTTGAAAATATTACCCAGTATCCATTTAAAGCTAAAATGCCTACATGACTACTGGAACATTAAAATATATAAGTCATCCGAAACTGCAAGTAGGAATCTTAATCCTTCAAGGGAATTTAATGCCCTGAAGTCCCCTATTTCCAATATCCCTGGTGAAGTCAAAACACAATCAGTCCAAGTGATATATTTAAGTTATTTATTGCTTCCTTGCACAGACTGACCAGATAACATCCATATTCAAACATTGTGACAATCAGATATTCATATTGGAAACAGGGGATTTCAGGGCATCAAATTCCCTCGAAGGATTAAGAGTGTAATTTGCAATCAGGGAAATTAATGCTCCAAAGAAAATCTGAAAGTATTTGTGTTTTCTAATTTACTGCATCACAACACAGAATGTAAGGACTAGAGTTTGATGCAACAACAACTTGTATTCATATAGAGCCCTTCATGCAGGTCAGTGTCTTGGAGTGCTTATGTATTCTTGAATCTGGAGTTCCTGGACTGGATATGCTGTCAGACGGATAGGCTGAAGCAAAGTCTAGTGACTTCCTACTGTAAATTAAAGTGTGAAAAATTTATTAGAAGAATAAGGATCTTGTCAGCTCTGTATAGATAAGATTACTTGGACTGTTACCCACTGCTGTAAAATAAGAAATTGCTTGTTGGCAAATGGAAGGGCTGAGAATACCCTAATAAAGAGCTTGTATTTTATAGCCTTACAATCTCAAAGTGTTCCGTAAGTAATTATTATCTGGAGTAGTGACTGTTTGTATAAGTACATGTGCATACTGTTTGCACCAGCAACAGACCCCTGAAATATGTACAGTAATCAGTGTTATTATACAGCACAGTTAACATTGCCCTCTTAACAATGCCCTCTTAATGTCAAAATAGCACTATAAAACACAATACAAATTAGATATCAGGATCATGAATTTGAATTTTGAACCCGTTGCCAAAACTAGTTGAGAACATTTTCCTGGAATCCAATTAATGCATCAGCTGCAATGTCAATTGGACTTACTGAGTATCAGAAAATGTCAATTTTACATTTTAAAAATCTACAGTACTCCATCAAAGTTAAACTTTTTAATTTGATGTAAGAATCAGTCATGCAACTGGTCCTTGAAATCAAATGAACTTTTTTCATCTGAACATCTCTTTATGATCTTGTATTCAATATTGTATTGTATTGGTTAGAGCACTCTCTTCGCTAGCGAGAGGACCCAGATTCGATTCCTGGATGGGGCGAAATCTTATGCAAGTTTCCTTACTCTACACACCTCTGTTTACCGAGCAGTAAATAGGAACCCGGTTGTTAGTTGATGGGCAGATTGCTTTCCGGGGGTAATAATCCCTCCCAAAAATAAAATATATTCTGTGAAGCGGTTTGAGATGTCTCAACGTTGTGATAAGGCGCTATATCAAATGTAAGGATTGTTATTATAATAACATTACAAAATTGATGATCAATGTTGGATTCAGGAGTTCTGAATATGTTCTTGTTTGTACATGTGCAGAGTTCTCAGCCCCCAGCGAGTGTGATTTCAGAAAGGGAAATATAAATTCTGCTTTCCACTCTGAATCCCTTTTCTGCTGGATATGAGAATACACCTTTCCTGCACTATAAATCTAGCATTTAACAAAACAGTCCTTTCTCCCCCACATCCTCGCCATGACCGGCACTGCTTACCACCACCTCCGCAACATTGCCAGACTCTGCTACTGCCTCACCCCTCAGGCTGCCGAAACACTCACCCACGCATTCATCACCTCAAGGCTCGATTACGGGAACTCCCTCCTCATCGGCCTTCCCAACTCTTCCCTTCACCAACTGCAGATCATCCAAAACTCTGCAGCTCGTGTACTCTCGTGCACCAGGCTCCATGACTCCATCACTCCCACCCTCGCCTGACTCCACTGGCTCCCCATCCCCCAGAGGATCGAGTTCAAGATCTTTGTCCTCACCTTTAAGGCCATCCATGGCCTTGCCCCCTCCTACCTCTCTGACCTGCTGACTCCCTACCAACCTGCCCGCTCCGTCCGTTCAACAGGCTCCGGCCTGCTCCATGTCTCCCGCCCGACCCGCCCTACCATCGGTGACTGGGCTTTCAGCCTCTCTGCCCTCATACTCTGGAACTCCATCCTATGGTCTCTTCGCCTCGCTTCCTCGCTTGCCTCCTTCAAGGTCAGTCTCAAGACCCTTCTCTTCGATCGTGCCTTTGGTCGCCCTCCCACCTCTCTGCCTTCCCTCACCCCTACACCACCCCTCCCCCATGCTCAGGTCCCGACACCTGCCTGTTCAGCGCTTTAGGACATCCTCCCGATGTGAAAGGCGCTCTATAAATGTAATTTTGTTGTTGTTGTTGTTGTGCAGAGTGTTGATATGCATGGAGAAATAACAGACCAGTGGATGTGGATGTGATGACTTCAAAAGATTCCAGATTCACTTCACAGCACTTATTACATTTTCAGAATTACTTAAGGTATGTTCTATCAGTCTGCGAGTTTAGGGATGAATACATTTTAAAATATGAGTGCAAAATAAACATTTATTGACACACTGCTTTACATGTTCCACAAATTATCTACCACATATTTATTTAAAGTTTAAATTGTTTAAATATTTCCTTGCAAATTTAATTTATTTACTTTTGTCCTTGATACACAATTGCATTACAATTATATTGCAAAAGTTTTTTTAATCTAAAGTGAAATACTTGCACACACCGTAAATAATCCTTGCATTTGATACAGCATCCATAATGCTTAAACATCTCAAAAGCGCTTCACAGGTAATTACTATCAAGTGTTATCACTTCGTACTTATAGGCAAATGAGGCAGCCAATTTGTACACAAGGTCTCATAAACAGTCATGAATTAAATGGCCAATTTATATAGAGAATTGTTGACTAATAACCCTTCTCTTTTTGAATTGGGCCATGGGACGTTTGATATTCTGAAATATCTGAACGGGCAGACAAGACCTCAGTTCAACATCTCATCTGAAGGACTGTACTTCCAGCAATGTCCATTACAGTGTCCATTAAGCATTACACTGGAGTGTCCCAGACTTGAAGCAACAATCTTCTGACACCGAGGTAAGAATGCTACCAATTGAGTAAAGTTGATACTTTAAGCTGTATGTATTCTCACTGCGTATACTGACAGTGTACTGCACTTTCTACATAATAATATAAATAATCCTTGCATTTGAGATGTCTTCTGTGAAGCGTCTTCACAGAATATACTGTAAAGTGAATTGACTATATACTTGTGGGCGAAACGTGTCAGCCAATTGTGCACAGCAGCATCCCACAAACAGTCATGGACTGAAGTGACCAATTTTATCGCTTTTTTTTCTTGAGGGATTATTATTAGGTGTGTGGAGTAAGGAAACTTACCCAAGGTTTCGCCCTGCTGGGAATTGAACCCAGGTCTCTCGCTTGCAAGGCGAGTGCTCTAACCACTGAGCTACAGGACTCCACTTACACTGCATGTACTTTCGTGCATTTCATTTATTATTGAGAATTAGTTATTAGACAAATAATTATATAATTTGACAGTTATTACGGTCTTCCTCTTCAATATTTAATTCTGTCAGTCCTTTTGACTTGGAAGTATCAAAATTAAGAATCCTTTGATGAACCCAAACATATCAAAGTCTCATCATTATGTGCTTGTTTGATATCTGTAACATATTAAAGGATACACAAAGCATTGGTCAAAATAATTGGGAAAATTGAATTTCACCGATGGAGGTCCACACTGTGTGCACATATATATTATATTGTGTGTGTGTGTATGGGTATCTATAAATTTAATAAAGTATTGACAAGAATAATGAGGCCAAACCCTGAAACTCTATCTGCTGAGGACAGAAAACCCAAATATAATTATGAAATCATTGATGCTGAGAATTGTTGGATATTTGAAATTTTGCTGAATTTTTTTTAAAATTTATTTTTCTTGTAACTTGTATATAAAAGTATAAATGTAAATTGTATTGTATTCTATTTTAAATTGTGTATGTTTGCAGTGATTTGGTGAAGGGTAATCTGCTCAGGATTGTATTTTAACATGTTTATTAAACACTAAAACATATTGAAGAAGTGAAAATTAGGTGGCATTTTATTGAAGAACTGAACAGCCAAAGAACAGATTCTTTGCTTTTTAACTATTTTCTTATCAGCTCACCGTCATTTATTTCTTACAATTAGTATTTTATTCACACATAAAACAAACAGCTTTTAAAAAAGAACAATTTTACAGAACGACATTTCTAACACACTCTATTGTACATTAAAATGTGTTCAGCCACGTTCCTGCAATACTTTGTTATGTCTTGGCTAGTTGGTGAAACTACTGTTGCATTTTCTTTTCTTTCCCCCCATTAAAGGCCCTGTAAAGATTGCATTTATCAATTAATGTGTAAATTTGACATTTATAAAGTTGTTCATTCTTGTATTGGCATCTGTAGTTGGAAATGCATATATGCAGACTACCCTCAGGCTAGGGTTTGAAAGAAAGTTTTTTTTATATTACTGCATATTTTGATTTGTTCTTGCTATAAGCACGGTTTATAACAGACTCTTTATTTTATGAATGCTTATCATGCATTTACACCATCTGATATTCCCTTTGGGGTATCGGTTGCAATTAAACCAGATGTGCCTCTCCTAAACAGTTACTATTATTATTACTATTATTCCATGACACTGACTATGTACAAATAAGTTACGTACAGAATTTAAATCGTCACAAAAATATCCCATGAGCGTTCTGTTAACCGGAAGAGAAATAAGGGGTTTCACTATGGTAATTATAATCAGGGCAAACTTTCTGAACGAGTTTATAATCTACGCTGTAGAAAGCTATATATATGCATATAACCTTGAATGGTTTGGAACATAACCAAGACACATGACTTTGGGTCTGCTCCTGATAGCATATCTTTGAAGGATCATAATTACACAGTGCAGTCTTCTTTGCTCGGTCTGTTTTCTCATACTCAATCCGACAGTTGAACGTCTTCGACTCTTTGGTCTCCAGTGTTGACTGTTGAGAGAAGTCAAACTCCACGACCTTGGATGGTGGGACCAGGCTTACAGACACATTTCCATGACCAGTTGAATTATGTCGAAAGTACACACTGAAAGTTCCGTTTCCATGGTCGACTATTTTCCCAGTAATCAGAAGATTCAGTTTAACAGTCTTGATGTTAGAATGGAAGTCACCCCAACCGAACATTTTCTTGAATTTTCCTGTTTTAACAATGGGCCTGCGTTTAGTCCGTGAGTGAGATTCCTGAATGTCCGTTAGGTTGTTTAACCATGTCCACAAGTCTTCTGAGCTTTTTAAAGTGGAGGTTTCTGCGATGTACTGTCTCGGCCTTGGGATCTCCTTAACAAAGAGCCGTAATGGGTTTACCATTTGAGCGTCGACCATGCTATCGGCAAATGTCTGCCCTGCTGACTTGTCTCTTAATTCCAGTAGTTCCATTGTTCTTGCTAGATGCTTCTCATGGCAGGCAATCTGAGGAGGTAAAGCTAAAGATTAATAAAAATCATTGCATTTGATATAGCGCCTTATCACATCTTTGAGACATCTCAAAGCACTTTACAGGATATACTGTAAAGAGAATTGACTATATATTTTGTGGGTGAAACGCGGCAGCCAATTGTCCCACAAACAGTCATGGATTGAGTCACCAAATTATTATTATTTTTGGAGGGATTATTACCCCCAGAAAGCGATTCGCCAATCGACTAACAACCCAGTTCCTATTTCCAACTGCGTAAACAAAGGCACATGGAGTAAGGAAAGAAGCCTAAGGTTTCTCTCCGCCCGGGAATTGAACCCGGGTCCTCTCGCTTGTGAGTAGCATGACTAATGCAAGTAGCATGATGGTTCTGTTCGATCTGACTTGCAGACACAGAATTGTTGGATTAGTCAGACAACACAGCAACTTTTGAAACACATTAGGATATGTATGAGTGATTACTTCCATAAACTTCCATCCTGCAGGAAATACAAGAGAAAACATGGGTGATCAATGTAGAATGGGTACCTTGCAAATTATTTTGAGTCGGCCTTGAGAGTGAGTTTTGGTGGGCTGTGTGGGAATTGCAGCACAGCTGGATCCTACATTTACACCACAATCAACAAAGGCAACTTATATTTATACAGTGGGTTAGCACCTCAGAGCACCTTCCACACGTATGCCTTCCAGAAAAGGGGGAGGACGTCTCTGCATAGCATTCGGGTGTAGAAATCTTGGCTGATGTTCTGCTCCATAACCCAGGGGCCCCTCCCATATCAGTATGCTATTACAGTCCCCATACGTCTATCAGAGTAAAATATTAACTCACACTTCATCCTTGAATCAATAATTTTAAATAATTCCTGCACAGAAGAAGAAGAAACAGTGTGAACAGAGAAGTGAAATAAAGTAACCATTATTATCCAGATTGGGACAATATTTTTAGCTTTTAACGTTTCAGCAAACATTGATCCTAACTCAAATGTGCACTCAATCTGTATGGGTGTGTTGTGGTGACTATGCACGACAACAACAAATGACATTTGTATAGCACCTTTCACGTCAAGAGGACATCCCAAGGCGTTGATCAGTCAGGGATCCGCACCCAAGATGGTAGTTGGGATCAGGAGGGGGGTGACCAAAGGCAGGGTCAAGGAGCACGGTCTTGAGACGGGTCTTGAAGGAGGCAACAACAACAACAAGATTCCATTTATAAAGCGCCTTTCACGTCAGGAGGACGTCCCAAGGCGCTGCACAGTTGGGTCATGACCCGAGCAGGGGGGAAATGGTCAGGGTGAGGGGAGGGAAGGGAGGGAGCGAGGAGGGGGGAAATGGTCAGCGTGAGGGAAGGGAGGGAGCAAGGAGGGGGAAATGGTCAGGGTGAGGGGAGGAAAGGGAGGGAGCGAGAAGGGGGAAGAGAGTCGAGAGGGGAGCTGAAGGCACGGTCAAAGAGAAAGGTTTTGAGACCGGCCTTGAAGGAGGAAAGGGAGGAAGCAAGGCGAAGGCACTGGGGGATGGAGTTCCAGAGCCTGGGGGCTGAGAGGCTGAAGGCCCGACCACCGATGGTAGGGCGGTTGGGGCGGGGGACGTGGAGCAGACCAGAGCCAGAGGAACGGAGGTTACGGGCAGGTAGGTAGGGGGATAGTAGGTTGGAGAGGTAGGAGGGAGCAAGGCCGTGAATGGCCTTGTAGGTGAGGATGAGGATCTTGAAATCAATCCTCTGGGGGATGGGGAGCCAGTGGAGGCGAGCGAGGGTGGGAGTGATGTGGTCGCGAAGCCTGGTGCGGGACAGTACACGAGCTGCAGAGTTCTGAATGACCTGCAGCTTGTGGAGGGAGGTGGCGGGAAGGCCGGCGAGGAGAGAGTTCCCATAGTCCAGCCTTGAGGTGACAAAGGCGTGGACCAGGGTTTCAGCAGCGTGAGGGGTGAGGTAGTGCCGTAGTCTGGCGATGTTCCGGAGGTGATGGAAGGCGGTGCCAGTTGTGGTGCGGATGTGAGGGAGAAAGGACAGCTCAGGGTCGAACAAAACGCCGAGGTTCCTGACTGGCTTTGAGAGGTGGAGAGTGCAGCCTTGGATGCTGATGGTGTCAGCGCCTGAGGTGCGGAGGCGCTGACGTGAGCCAATCAGGAGGGCCTCGGTTTTTCGCACGTTGAGCTGAAGAAAGTTGTCTCTCGTCCAGGACTCGATGTCGGACAGGCAGGCTGTCAGGACATCGGTGGTCGTGGAGTTGAGAGTAGAGGAGGAAAGGTAGAGTTGGGTGTCATCCGCATACATGTGGAAGTTAACTCCATGTCTGCGGATGATGTCACCGAGGGGGAGCATATAGAGGGTGAAGAGGAGGGGACCGAGGACAGAGCCCTGAGGGACACCACATGAGACAGTACGGGGGGTGGAGGAGAAGCCATTCGTTGAGACAAAGTGAAGACGGTGAGAAAGGTACGACCTAAACCATTCAAGGACAGTGCCTTGAAGGTTGAGGTGGGAGGACAAGCGGTGGAGTAGGATAGCGTGGTCGACCGTATCGAATGCTGCCGATAGGTCGAGGAGGACGAGGAGACAGAGGGAGCCCTGGTCACAGATGGTCAGGATATCATTGGTGACCTTGACCAGGGCAGTTTCTGTGCTATGGGCAGCACGGAAACCTGACTGAAGGGGTTCAAAAAGAGAATGGGTGGAAAGGAAAGAGCGCAGTTGGGAGGCGACAACTCTTTCCAAGACCTTGGAGAGAAAGGGGAGGTTGGAGATGGGCCGGTAGCTTGATAGCTGCGACGCATCAAGGGAGGGTTTTTTCAGGGTGGGCGTGATGATGGCAGTTTTTAATGGAGGGGATAGACCACCTCTTTGGCCTATCATCTAGGCAGAGAAACCAAACTTGGGGTTTGTTCACAGGAAGTAATGTTAGATGACAGTAAATGTGTTTGATGAGAGTAGAGGAAGAGTCCTAATTAATATCTCTGGGCAGTGTGTATAGCCAGTTTGACCCAGCAGCTCACAGTGTAAGTCAAGTTTGAAGAGCACATCTGTAAATTCACTCTGCTGGACCTTCCCTGCTGACGTGGTGTTTGCAGCAGCACATCAATAGATTCAATAAGAATGTATATGGTGCAAATCACTTTGGCTTTCACTCAGCTATGACCAGCACTCATTTCTAGGACACTGTATTTGCTCCAACTGTTATAGTGGAGTCACTAGAGTCTGCTTTTAGCTGCTGTGTACTAAGAACCTTTCTGTCAGTAGATGGAATTTATCCATCTTGTCACTGACGAGCACCATCCTCTTTGAGGGCAAAACATTTGAATTCATCTGGGCTTCAATTCAGATTTGAAGTGGGGGGAGGGAAGGGAATCATATCTGGAACACGAAAGGACCTGGGGAAGAAGCAGCAGCCTGAGAAACCATATAAAAGATCTCTTTGAGAATGGATTCCCTTGCAGACAGCGACAGACGTAAATCTTACTAATGCACAGAATCACTACACCTTTAGGAAAATTAACAGCCCCAGGCAATGGATGTCTCAGGCAGATATAAATTAAAATAGCTGAGCTAGTTGCACATTATTATCTTTTTAAGACATGAAAGATGAATAAAGAGGATCCCATCATATGCTTCTAACATCAGAACCTAAATCGAAATGCCATGTAACTGCTAATATATCAAACACATCAATGACAATCTTAGTGTATACAAAGCAATGACATCTTTCATGGTGCAAGCACCCTGCTACTGCAAGATGCACGTAATATTCCTTGTATCTGATGTACTGCCTTATGTCGTCGACACATCTAAAGCACTTGATTTTGCTCTGAAGTGTAGTGACTGTGTACTAGTAGGCGAATGCCTACAATCAAACTGAGTGATTAAAGTTGATCAAATTTCTTATTCTAAACCCCCCAGCCCCCACCCTCTTTTCCTCACATACATACACCACAGCTTAGCTCAGATTTCAAGAACACTTCAGCACTCAGTCTCACTCTGGATGTTTTTCCAGTTTATATTATTAATGGGATACGTTAAGCCGTTTCTCAGTGCCTTGTGTTGTGGCATTCACAAGAGGGTATTAACTGAATCTGTGATGCAATTACATAAGCAGTGTCTGGGACTGATTTGCATTGGTTGATGGATTGCTGAAATATAGTGAGTTAGGTTGGCTGAAGCAGCAAGTATTAATCCACGGAGAGTGGGGAGAGAGAGAGGAGAGGGAGGGGGAAACTTGTCTTCGTAAACAAAAAAGATCAAATGTTGCATTTAACAGGATTACTTGTGATGTTTCAGAAAGCAACTCGACACGGTTAACACAAAAAATGTCCAACCTGCATCATCTGCCTGACTGAAAATATATTCAGCTGTAGAATACAAAATATATTCAGCCGTCATTTAAAAATAGGAAATGGAATCCCTTGTGTTCTCTGTTAGAAAATGAAGACTTTGATGCTTAAGAAACTCAGGTGTGGATGAAGTTGATATCAGTTGTCTAGTCGCTGCTCCAGTAAAACCACAGTAGATTATGGAGAAAGTCTGCGCGGGGCATATATTCCATGGTTATCAATCATTTTAGTGATCTGGCAGATGCCTTGGCTTCAGCAATTCAGTGCAATAGTGCCAAGATGCATTTGTCAAAATTTTAAGTAGATTTTAGTCCTGTCAAGAATTATTAATTACAGCAGCAAACACAGTTGTTTGATGGACTAACAATTCGGTGATTGACTTTGTTATTCCGGATTGTTCAGCAGATTCCTCTCCCCAGTGCAGGACACGTTAATGAGGTCAGTGAGCATGACTGTCAACAAAATAGGAATAGTTGAGCCTTTTCTTGTTAAATATTCCGATAGATCGACATCTCTGCCGTTTAGTCAGTCTTAATAATTCATCAAGATAAGATGAGCCTGAATTCTGTTGGAAATTAGATGAAGGCTCCTTCCCAAGGCTGGCAGAGATTTTATCACTGATTTAGAAATACTATCAGAATCTTTAGGAGCTGAATGTAAGGGCCTT